AAATAAATAAATTTGCTAGAACTAATTACATTGCTACCGGACAGCATATATTTGCATAATTATGGACAAGGTTCATTTGTGTTATTATCAATTATGTGTAATTTACAGTGTTGTGAGTTAACAAAGCCAATGAATGGTTCCAGTGAAAAGTCCAATGAAAAGATGCTTAAATGATCCTTTTTGTCTGATTCAGAGTCCTTTACAATTTTCTCCTATGTGGTACTTTTCTTGGTAGAAGGACTACCCCATCTTATTCAAGAATGGGACTCTGAAGCTTGGAGGGGAGAGAGAACCTGTTCCCAGGCCCAAAAAGTGGCCAATTGCCAACATTCTTGCTCCAGGGGCCAATAACATCCCGGATGCCTTCATCATGGGCAGCCCTTATGAGGAGGAGGAAGGAGAGCTCAACCATGCTGAGGTGAGCTGCTGTGGGCGGCGTGTGCCCCCCGAGATTGTGATTACTGTATGTCTGGCACTTGCCAAAATAAAATGTTTATCTAATTCTGATGAAAATATGTCTCAAGTCCAGCAAACAAAATAATTTGCATCACAATTATTTTAGTTTTTTTTTTTTTAATTTTATGTGTTTGGTACAGGGTCTCACTCCACAGCTCAGACTTGTAGTGATCCTCCTGTTTTCAGCCTCCTCAGAGCTGGGATTACAGGCTTGCACTACCATGCCTCGTCTCGGTGGCTGGCTCAGCTCGCCCATGGTGGGGCCAGCATGGCAAGTGGTACCTGGGATCAAACCCTGGTTCTTGTGCTTGCTAGGCAGGCACTTAGACTGCTGAGCTATTTTCGAATACATAATAAGTTCTTGCTTTGTAATCCAGGCTGACCTGGAACTCACTGTGTAGCCCAGGCTGGCCTGGAACTCACTGTGATTCTCCTGCCTCGGCCTCTTGAGTGCTGAGATTACAGGCATGCACCACCCTGCCTGGCAATAGAAACCATCTTATTCTTCTGCAGGACAGAGAATTCAGGAGCCAAGCAGAGTGCGTAAAGAAGAGGATTGTTTGGGACTTGGAAAGTCGCTGCTACCTTGACCCTCATGCAGTTTCCAGGTAGGAAGGGGAAGGGAATATGAGTGACCACAGAGGCCGTTGGTGGGGAGACACTCTTAATATTTTTCCATATATGTATTTGTACTGAGGTGATTTAAGGCTTTTGTCTGTCACCGCATTGTATCAGTTAGAAAGGTGCTAGTGACAGTGGCCTAAAGTGAGGATTTACTTCTCTTTTCTGTAGAGACGTCTAGGACTGGTATGTAAGCGGCTTCACATTCTCAAGTATCCAGGCTTATTTTGTCCTTTACCTTCTTTAATACTGAAGAGGGGGCCAGGGAGATAGCTCAGTAGAATAAGAGCTTGCCCTGGCAAGCACAAGATCCTGAGTTCAATCCCCAGTACCACCAAAAAAAAAAAAAAAACAAACCCAAAACAAACAAAAAACTGAAGAGGAAGCTGAGAGTTAGCTTTTAGAGTTAAATGTGAACAGATTTTTTTTTTTTTTGAGGTACCAGGGATTGAACTCAGGACCCTGAGTTTGCCAGGCAGGTGCTTATTCTACTGAGCTATATGTTCTAGGTGACCAGAGATTGAGGCCTGAGACTTTGGGAATGAATCCCCATCTGGTCCATCGACATAAAAAAATCTGCCTCCAAATCCTGGGTGACATTTTGGTGTTTCTGTTTGTCGCTACAGCATGTGCCTTCTATGTATAGGTTTAGCTCATGTCCCAGGATGGCTGCTACAGTCCTAGACTGTACATTCACATTCTCGGCAAAAACTTGCAAGAGGGAGTGGTTATGGATAAAAAAGGAACATGCTAT